TTTTTAAGAAGTTCTTAAGACTTCGAATGCGCCACCTATTGATCTTATCAAGACTTCTCAAAAAAGAACTCTTGAGGAACCCTTTTCTTTGACTTCGCAATAAAGCATTTTAAAGAGTCCTTTTGTATAAACTTATAAAAAGACTTAATTCTTTAGAATTTTCCGTTTTGGATATAGAAGTACTACTAGGGCACTGATGAAGAAATTGCATACTGGATCGTTGCTTATTTTGACATGTCAAGTTTATTTTATTAATTTGTTAAATTGATTTTATTAAAATCATTTTAATAATTTGCTCGTATTCGCTTATTTTAGGAATTGAGATTACTTCGTCTCACTTTTGTTTAAATTCAAGCGTGCTCTTCACCGGCACCGATAGACGGCCTGTTTCGCTCTTTTGGAGCTCGTCAGTATCGGGTAGCCGTTTACCTAGGTCTAAGACCGTCTGGTATGGAGCACGCTCTAAATTCTACTTCGCCGCTTCTTATATCAAACACAAGCAGTTACAGCGGTGAGAAGAAAGTAATCGCATTAAAATGTTATAAATGTGACGTCTCCATGTTGACTTCTAAGGGCCGGTTTTTCAATCGTTGGTTAAGTTTAACTTACGGTTAACTTTCTTAGATACTATTGTGTTAACAATAGTATCTAAGGAAATTAACCGTAAGATAAAGTTAACCAACGATTGAAAAACCGGCCCTTAAAGAGTTAATAGTATGATTTCAATTGGAAGTAAGAAAAAAGAATACTCTGTAAGCTCAAAATAAATTGTTCAAAAAGAGGTCAAGAAAAGATCTTCATTTGTACGTAAAAAAATTGACTTCTTATTTATGAGTTCATTAACAGCTCAGAATTCTGAGCTCATAAAAAGGAGCTGTTTAAGACGTCATTTTAGAACTTCTACACGAAGTTGTTTAAAAGACTTCATACTGAAATCTTTCTGATTTGGATGCTGACTGGGTAGGTACCTATTTAATTTAAAATTGTATTAGTTTTAGACCAATACAATTTAAAATGATAACTATGATTAGAAAATTAATAAAATATTCACTTACCACTATAGACCTCAAACAAATAACCACAAAACACAATAACTTGGCAATAAACTTTATGACAAACATATAAAAAATAGCAATGATGGCGAATGAACCTTTACAATCTGTGGAATGAAGCAAATAAACATGAAAACCCTTTGCATGTACCTAACAATCATGGCATCATATTTAACGGACGCTACCATAGAAAAAGGACGCTTCTTTATCTTCTGTGTTCGGCGGCAGTGTTGTCAGACGTTTAAATAATTTCAGAAAGCTCATCAAAATGGCGGTTATATTATTAAATCTTTAATACTTAATTAATTAGTATATCTAGTATACCTATTTAACATAAATGTGTTGAGTAATTATTTTAAATTTATTTAATTTATTTATTAAAATTAATTAATAAAGTACGGAAATATATTTCGTTTAGTTATTTTGCTTCTAACCGGCAACACTGAAGATTCTCAAATTCAGCGCGTGCGTACTACTATGAAATACAATAATAAACAAAAGGGACTTTATTGTTTTGTGTTATCTGCTGAAGTAGATGGATCGGCTATCCTTGAGTGGATAATATGAAACTCATCGAATCCACAAAATCTACAATAGATTGGTAAAGATGCAATTGCTGAATCCACAAAATCTACAATAGATTGGTAAAGATGCAAGGGATTTTCACACAGGATGGTCGTAATATTGAAGGATTGAATATATTTCTGCAAACAGCCATGTGGTGCATAGTCGGTTTTTTTTTTGCTTTTTTTTTGCCTCGTAACTTCCGCTGCTAATATCGTGATTTTGTATGTGTATTAGGGTGATTCATTTCCGCAAAGTTTTTGTTTTCTTCGGTGCTCAAGCAAAATATTAATCTGCATATAGAAAAAAAAATTCTCAACAAGTTTTAGCTCTTAATATCAATTTTAAGTACTTGCAGTTTAAATTTAAAGTTTTCCCATTTAAAAAGCATGTAAAAAAAATGTTTTTTTTTCAAATTTCTAATGCTTACCCACCTTTGACAATATTGCAAATCGGTTTAATACACCTTATAGGGAATTTCACGCTCTTTAAAATTGCTTTTGAGTTTTTTTTTGTAACTCGCATTGGTTCACCAGTAGGAGTCGTCAAAGGACAGTTTTTGAAAAAAATCGTTTTTTTTTAATTTTTTCCAACAAACCGCAAAAAGTAGGGAGAAAAGTTTTTGTTTTCTTCGGTGCTCAAGCAAAATATTAATCTGCATATAGAAAAAAAAATTCTCAACAAGTTTGAGCTCTTAATATCAATTTTAAGTACTTGCAGTTTAAATTTAAAGTTTTCCCATTTAAAATGCATGTAATAAAAATGTTTTTTTTTTTCAAATTTCTAATGCTTACCCACCTTTGACAATATTGCAAATCGGTTTAATACACCTTATGGGGAATTTCACGCTCTTTAAAATTGCTTTTGAGTTTTTTTTTTGTAACTCGCATTGGTTCACCAGTAGGAGTCGTCAAAGGACAGTTTTTGAAAAAAATCGTTTTTTTTTTAATTTTTTCTAACAAACCGCAAAAAGTAGGGAGAAAAAAGGGCTGAATCATAAAAAAAAGTTATCCAACCAATATTTAATGAATTTACAGCCATTTTTATAACTGAAAACGTAAGAAATTGATAATTACCAACTCATAATGTTATTTAGATTGATTTTTTCTATTTATTATCATTATATTTCCCTACACTAAGAAGTTTTTTAAAATTATTAATTTCTCACTTATAATGAATATGAAAACAACAGATAAATTCATAAAAAAATAGCAAAAAAGTATAAATGAAGATTATTTAATTTTTTGAAGCGAAATTTGAAATATGTTACATAACCTTCTGTATATTCCGATTAAAGTTTTGTTGTTTTTTTTTATGAATTTATGTGTTGTTTTCATATTCATTATGAGTGAGAAATCATAATAATTTTAAAAAAGTTCTTAGTGTAGGGAAATATAATGATAATAAATAGAAAAAATCAATCTAAATAACATTATGGGTTGGTATTTATCAATTTCTTACGTTTTCAGTTATAAAAATGGCAGTAAATTCATTAAATATTGGTTGGATAACTTTTTTTTTATGAATCAGCCCTTTTTTCTCACTACTTTTGGCAATTTGCTCGAAAAAATAAAAAAAAAACGATTTTTTTCAAAAACTGTCCTTTGACGACTCCTACTGGTGAACCAATGCGAGTTACAAAAAAAAACTCAAAAGCAATTTTAAAGAGCGTAAAATTCCCCATAAGGTGTATTAAACCGATTTGCAATATTGTCAAAGGTGGGTAAGTATTAGAAATTTGAAAAAAAACATTTTTTTTACATGCATTTTAAATGGGAAAACTTTAAATTTAAACTGCAAGTACTTAAAATTGATATTAAGAGCTCTACCTTGGTGAAATTTTTTTTTTCTATAGGTAGATTAATATTTTGCTTGAGCACCGAAAAAAAAACAAAAACTTTGCGGAAATGAATCACCCTAATGTGTATGTGTAATAGTATAATAAAAGTGACTTCCGCTGCTGATATAAGCTATATTGAATAAACTCTAAAAAAGACAAAAATGATAGTGATGGACATAAGTGAATAAAAAGAGAATAAGTGAAAAAAGAATCTAAAAGTGACAAAAATAATAATAATTAATGAACTATAAAACCAAGAAGAAAAGGAGAAGCTATAGGTTATCCTAGACTCGCTTGCTCCAGTATAATAATAATAAAATTCAGCTGGCTAAATCCTGGATGGGAAAGGCCAAACCAAACAAGGAAGAAGAAGAAGAAGACTTTATTGTATTGCAGACTGTCATAGTCATATTATTAACAGAAATAATATCTATAGGTAAAGTGAACATTTCAAAATTAAAAATTTCGTAGCTCTTGGCAAAAAATCAATTTACCGTAAAGTTGTTTTTTGACATATGCCAGTTCTCAATTAAACCATCACAAAATCCCACATGTATACATACAAGTATATATAGGTACAAGATATCCATATCAGTTATCCACTGGATATCCATTGGATATACATTAGATGTACAGTGGATATACTTTAGACATACATTAGTTATCCATTGGATATATATTAGAGATACTTTGTTGAAATTGGTTTAATAACGATTTAAATCATATTTATTAATCATTACATAAATTTATCCTATAAGGGGCTATTTTAAAAAAGAAAAAAATATTTTTAATGTTTTTGTTTTTTTTTGAACATCCAGTATGGATATCCAATGGATATCGTAAAAGGCATGGATGTTATATGGACATTGGGATAGCCATTGGATATCCATTGGATAGCGTGTTCTGTGTGGGTTTGTAATCAGTGTTCCCACTCGTTCATTTTATTTCGTACTAGGTGGCTCCGTCATTTGGTACTATTATTGATTGTACTTAATACTATATCTATATGGGTGAAATTAATGCAGGCTATTATTCGAGTGAATATTGCGCATAATCTAGAGTGTAATACTATACTTTAACTAATCCAATAAGTAGATAATTAAATGATTTTCAAAATTAAATAAATAAACATCTGTCAAATGGTTAACCTCACTTTTTACCAATTTTAAATGTTATTATAGTCGCCTTTTCCCAATTTAAAACCCGATTGGTTAAAATCACAGTGAATATTGAAATCGGCCAATCACTGATGCCTAACAACGTGAATAATGAGTTTATTATTCGGCAGCAATTTTATAATGAACATTTAACAATATTTACGGAAAAAGTGGCAACACTGCAAACAAGAAATCTCTATCGAAAAAAAAAAAAATTATACACAGCAGAAATAATAGAACACTCGTCAGTAAGAGCAAAGATAATATTATCTTTGAGTAAGAGTTCAGAAGACTTAAGACCATCTCTGGCATTCTCTGCATACAGGTGTATGTATCTTGCTCTGCATACAACGTTTGGCAACGCAGCAAAAGTAGCCAAATGAAGTTTTAGAAATCGGCAAAAAATTTAGTTGTACATATTTAAAATACATTCTAATGGATAAAAAGCCTGCCGGAAACATTCAGGGTACTATTTTAAGTACACAAAATGCCCAGAGGTTAATTTCTTCGGGTATTCCTTCACTGGACGATTTATTGGGTAAGGCAGATTTTGAGGTTATATTCAACTTTCTTTGTACTTTATTATTATTACATTAAATTGTAAATTGTTGCAATTCTAGGTGGAGGATTACCTGTAGGAACCGTGGCATTAATAGGTGTGTACATTTAAAAACAATAATTGGGTAAATTTTAAAATTATTTTTTAGAGGAAGACCTGCATGGGGCATATTCTAAAATTATACTAAAATATTTTCTTGCGGAAGGCATTGTATCAAAACACTCTACTTTAATAGCTAGTCAGGATATAAATCCTTTTAATATAGTAAGTATCATTTCTTTCTAAATTTTATATAGGTAAGAAGACAATTTAAGATTTTTAGGTAACAGTTAACAAAAATTATCCCATCATGTCAAATTGACCTATAATTTGTTGCTTAGATTATACAATTTAATTAATTTATTTTAGATTAAGGAACTACCAGCTGTGATCGATAGTGACCCTGAATCATCAAAACCTAAAACTAGTGGGACCAGTGATAAAATGAAAATTGCTTTTAGATATCAAAATATTCAAGTTTCTAATGATTCAAAATTACATAGTTTAGGGCATTACTATGATCTTTCAAAAAATATGTCATTAAATGATATAGAAAATTCTGATATTTCATATTGGAGTGGACAGCGACTTGAAAATGGTGAGTCATTTTGTGGTTTATATTACAATTAAATATGATCAATAATATAATTTTATCTAAATGGGTTTATTAAATACTATTATCAACAAATGCAGTTAATTACATTCCTACCAAATTCTGATGCAATATTTTTTTATTTATTTTTAAACTAAAATTGGCAAATAAAAATATAACCTAAATGGTACTGAAAATTGCTTCCATTATTTAATTCACATATGAAGGTCAGAAAAATAAACCAAATCAATATTAAATATTGCCTGTTAACAAATTAAACTTTTAATTATATTACTAGTGTTCACTATTTTAAACAATATTTATTTTTATATTATTCATTTAAAAATTAAAAATCATTAAATTAATTATTGGAATTTATTAAGCTTTTAAAATAAATAAAAATTAATTACACTGCTAATGAAATTTATCAAGCGCTTAAAATATCTTTAATTTAATTTTTAGGATCAAATTCATTTGCAAATCCTGCCTACAATCAACTTTTAAAGTCAATTAAAGATAAAATTAAGGATGGAAAATTTTTCCTTAAGGACAATCCAAGCAAAAAGTCAATATTACGTATTGGCATCCACTCACTGGGGTCACCTATGTGGCTGCCATACAGAAAAGCATTGCATTCCATAGATAGCAGTCGAGACTTGGACATGTTTATATTTTGCCTTAGAGCTTTAGTAAGGTCTGCTTATGCAGTGGCTGTTATCACAATACCAACACATTTATATCATGAGGTAAGTTATTACTATACAACAAAATTAAAAGTTTCAAACATTTAATTTAATTTTTTTTTAATGTTTTGAGACTATTTATTTGTAAGAATAAAAGAATAGAAAACAATTTCCAAAAGACGTTTCAAAAATAAAAAAAATGTTAAAATTAGTTAACAATAACAATGTTAGCAAATCTGCGGGTTCACAGCTATTTCATTGCTTGCGTTGTTCTAAGGAAAAATCTCTATACAGGGTAGTCTTTTGTACAGGGTGGTCTAAAAGTAATGGGACAGAGAGCAAAAGTAGACAAAACGATCCAAACTTGCCTTATTAAAAAGTTGATAATAATAAAGATATTACAAAGTTTTAATTTTGTTTTTGATTTTTTTCATTAGTGTCTCAACAAAAATAGACAGCTGTACAAAATTGTGGATTTATTGGGTTTATTGAGACAATGAATACAAATTTGTACAAAGTTTTGATTTTACTAGTAGTCCTACTGCATACCGCGCTTCTTTTGACATAACTTTTTTTAAGCTTAGTATATTGATCTGACTGATGATCTGAAAAATTAAATAGTCTACTTTAATTATACCTACTTGAAGTAGATAAAGTAACAATTTTCTATACAATCGCATTTTAAATTTCTTGAAACTAAATACGTATGATTCAAAAGTAATAGAACATAAAGCAATATGAAATATTTGAATACAAATTATTGTAATTTATAAAAATTTACTTATGTACAGGGTGATCCCCTATAATGTCGCCCCCCTTTAACTTTTTTATATTAAGTGTCCCAAAAAATTAAAAGTGTGGTTATGTAGGAACTAAAAAATACTTTTTTTCTACGTATAAAGAAAATTGGAAAATTGATCAGTATACAGGGAAAAACAAAAAGTTAATTTTTTTTCAATGGATCACCCTATATATGAATTTATTTTTCGATTCCTTGTAAAATTCTAAGCATATTTCATATATCATACCATATACCTAAATTCAACCGTTTCTGAAATATTTAAATTATTTTTAAGATAATAAGTTGAAATAGTTTGTCTTTCTCTGTCTGAGTACGCCAATTTTACTTATTTAACAACACTTATTGACATAATGTCACTATAGTAATTTATTTTCAATAAAAATTTTGGTATACTGAGGCTTCTTGATTTTTAACAGTTTAAAAAAACATTTAATGATGACATTTTGAATGCGAATATTTCAGAAACGATTGAATTTAGGTATATCGTTTGTATATAAATTATGCTCAGAATTTTACAAGGAATCGAAAAATAAATTCAAATATAGGGTGATCCATTGAAAAAAAAAATGTTTTGTTTTTCCCTGTATACTGATCAAATTTCCAATTTTCTTTATACGTAGAAAAAAAGTATTTTTTAGTTCCTACATAACCACACTTTTAAATTTTTTAGGACACTTAAAATAAAAAAGTTAAAGGGGGGCGACATTATAGGGGATCACCCTGTACATAGGTGAAAGTTAATTTTATTTCAGATACATTTTTTTTTAATAAAATCCATAGAAAAATAAAATAAAAGCTTTTTTGCACTGTAATACTAATTTAATTTTAATTAACTTTTTTATTTAATAATAAGTTTAATAACATTAAAAATTTAATAAAACTAAACTAAAAATTAGAAATTAAAATAATTATTTTTAACAAGGTCTTAATAAAAGTTGCTTAAAATGACCACTACTAAGGAAGTATCTCCATTTGAAGGCTAACAGCAAATTTAGCAGTGTCAATGTAGTAAAAATAAAACGTATTTTATTAAAATGTATTACAAATTAAAGTATTATTGAAAATTAAAAACAACATAAAAACTAAATAAATAAATTGTTCATTTGTTATAATGGCAAGATTAAGGTCAGGGTGGAAGAAGAAGGTGATATAGCTCCTATCTCTACAGAACAGAAGCAAGCGTCCAGATAAGTCAGTATTTCGTTCGTTGTTCGTTAGATGGCGTGTCAACTAAGAACCTAAGGTTTTACCAACGAAATCCATATATTCTATAACAACTTAACTTTTAACAACAATTTATAAGATAACGAAAACCCAAGGAAAGTCTTCTACCCTCCTTAATGAAAATTACATATTTTCTTACAGCATTATTATAATAATTTGCAAAACGATTGGCAATACTGTAGTATTGCCAACTGCTCTGCCAAAATGCACAGTCGCCACAAACGCGCAAAAGTAACGTTGAAATGGTTTTATTTGAATTTTAATTAATCTTAGTGGTAGAGATGCGACTTGAAAAAAAACGGTCCGTTTTTTTTTGTTTTTTTTCAGGTTTTTTTTCAAGATTAGTCCCATTTGCCTAATTTTTTATGTTTTTATGGACTAAAATTAGCCACTAAATGACAATTATTAAATGTAAATACAGTCTCGCGTTATGCACTCATATAATATTTTTGATTCAACGCTTGATTTTTCAAAAAGTACTGTCGATACCGGCGAAGCGAGCGGATGTGTAGTTCGAGCGCTCGGCGCCGATCCACAATAAAATTCTTAAAGAAACATAACTATTATATACAGTGTAGTCGAGTAAAGTACGATGCGAAACAGTGCTACTATTTGGGTGACTATAGTATGTATACATAACGGTACAGGTGAAATCAGGGTACCTGTTCTCCGAGGGGTTAATAGAAATATTAAATAATTCCTCAAAAGGCAATCTCTCAACGGTGAACATAGGAGTGAGGTTCGTGCGGACACGAAGTAATAAGGTGACAGGGGACAGGTCAAGGAATCACCTATTTAAAGAAAAAAACAAGTCTAACAAAGAGCGAAAGGGATCATCACCATCACCATCACCAGCCGACTCTGATAAGTATTATTGCATGACCTAATACGCAAATCTGTAAAAAAAAACAATTAACCATTGCCGAAAACAGCGTAAGTGTGCGAAAAGGAATCAAGCAGGAACGTCGCAATATTATATTATTGTATTATATATATTGTATAATATACGCGACTTGCAACTCTGCCACAAGGCAAAGCTTGAAGGAAGGTAAATAAACAAAGCGCCCACGCAATAACATAACGTAAATAAACCAGCTATTGAAGCATACGTTACACGCCTGATACCGGGGCCGTTTCAGATTTTAATGCGAAGCACCACAGGGCCGGCTATTTATTTTGTATTAAGCTAGTTTTAAATTAAATTTGAAAAAAAGTATTTGTCACCATTAACATTGCCCGTATTCATTTTATTAAACATAACATTTATTTTACTTGAAATGTTAAAATAACTTTAAAATATGATTATGTTAAGATCATATTTTACTCTTTAAACAATTGTTTTGTTTTAATTACTATCATTGCAAAATTGTATTAAAAAGTGTTAAAAATTCTTACACGGGCAATGTTAATGGTGATAGGTATCGTTAAAGTGTTTATTGGGATATCTTTAAAACCTATGAAGGGCGCGCGGCGTGGGGCAATAAGTCTGTCAACTGCAAATGCGTAAGGCGGTCCCAATCGAGACCGAAAATAAACACTGGACTGACAGAGTAAACTAACATTGATCACATAATTCTAATACATTAAAAAAAAAGGGCCTAATAGCCAAACTCGAGATTCGTAAACATTAGACAACAGAATAATCGCGCTTGTGATTTGTTTGACTAGTGAATAAATGCAATGCTTTGGAATTTGATAAACAAAGACGGAACTCTACCACAAAACGTGCTTGGGACAAAAATTATTAAAAACAACTGACACACTTTACCAAGGGCAGGAAGTTCCTGCCAGGAACTATCTGACCAGGACACGGACAATGACAATAACGAACAAGACAAGGACCTCGACTGGGAGACTACACCCCTGCAGCGAAATAACAACTCCCCAACTCCAAATAGTAATCCCAAATGTTTGGAGTAATACTAATCGACTGGTCTAGGGGGATTCCGCGTCGTACTTAGTTTTAAGTCGGCGTAATTGTCCCCCAAAAACCAACTCCCTCCCGTCCCTCATCCATGCCCCACCGAGCGTATAGCATAGGCTTGGCGAACCCGGGAATGGCTATTATAACTATTCGCCTCTCGCTCTCGAGCCCCAAATAGGGGACAGTACGGAACGCAATGGACATTCGCACCCAGCAAACACGGGTGAAGCCGTGCAGTTGCTGGGGAAGAACAAAAATCGGCGTAAGTAAACATAGGCCTGTACGGGGTTCGAGAGTCAAGAGGAAATGGGGCTGATTATACGTCTCTTATACTCATACTCATACTCAACGCTTGATTTTTCAAAAAGCTACCAAAAGCACTTTTTTTATGATTTTTCAAATTTATGTAGAGTATGGAAATTTTTTTTTCAAAATCAATAGCAAATTCTTCATTGGTGGTCAGAACATTCCGTGGACCAAAAAAGAAATAATTTTTTTTTTACGGTATTTGTTAGAATTGAGCGTTACACGTTTTTCATCTAAAAATCTCAAAACCATAAATTTCAAGCTTCAAATTGCTTTTTTTACGGCTCCAATACGACCATTTTTAACAAATATACAGTTATCCGAAAAATCGCAAAAAAATGTTTATCCTTTAATTTTTTGTATTAGTGTAGAAGTTTTACATTGCTATTGGTTTTTAATGTGGAAACTACCAAATAATAAGAAATCAGATTTTTTAGTCTTGGTCAAAATTTTCAATAATGAAAAATGTAATATATTCTACATTTTACTTAAAATTTCATTTTGAAAAAAAAACAAAAAAAACCGTTTTTTTCTAGGTTTTTTTTCATGTTTTTTTTCACATCTGAAAAAAAACCGTTTTTTTACATCTCTACCAAGTGGTCTATTCTTTGAAGTTAATCAATGCAATTTTACTAAAAATGGAAAAAGTTTGTTGTGCACCGGGGTTTAAAAAAATAAATAGGTTCTTATTTTTGGCGCCATCTATTTTGATTTTTAACAAATACTGACTTATCTGGCCGCCTTCAACGGCAGAGTTGAATCACCTCCTTCTTCCACCCTGATTAAGGTTTAAAACTGTCATATTTATGTTTCTTAAGTTGGCAGTACAAAATTTGAAACTTAAAAAAATATTGTTTGTTAAAATTTTCATAAAAAAATATATTTTTTTTACTCTCACCTTTAAAACGACCTTTATGTTTCCATGACACTAAGTGACCTTTTAAATACACATTAACAAGTTGTGGCTTTATGGCGCTTTAGTCACGGGCTGAAGTTAGTTTTAAGTTAGTTGACAGTTGTCAAATGTCATACAATCGTTAAAAAAAGTGCCTTTCTTGTAAAATAATACTAAATGTGAAAATTATTTTATTATCCCAATACAAAAACAAAAAAGTATTAAATAGTTTCTCAACGCCAATATTTGAAAAGTTTATATGAACATTGTACTGACCTTTTAATTTCGCCGGCAGTAAACTTAAATTCGGGCACGGACTCTACTGTAAAGTCCTCATAAAACATTTTCTTTACTTTTACTGTGAAACACTGTCAATTTTCAAGAAATACTTTTAGATTTATAATCTTTATAAATGAGACATTTGACGGTGACACACAGATTCCCCTATTATTTCATAGATGGCGTTCTATGCAAATTTTTGATTTAAATCATTTTAAGATAATAATAAGTATTTGTCGTAGAAATAGTATATTAAAGTACAAGTTGCAGAAGGCCACATATTCTCGCACGAATTCGAAATTTGGCCTCGAGCGACGAAGGAGCGAGTGGACGAACGAATGAGTGCGAGAATAGCCTTCTGCAACGTGTGATTTATACTATTTTCTCGATTTTAACTTTTATTTAGGTTTTTTTAATTGTTTTGTGGTCGTTGTTAGTTGGGGGATTTTTCTCGCAAAATGTCAGTTGGCAACACAAAATGACAATATTTGTTATCTTGGACACTTTTTCACATTAAACTTAAAATATTGCATTAAAATGCATTGTTGGAGCAAACTTAATATTACAAAACAATAATAAAGGCTTCATTTTCAATAAAAGTGTAGTTCAGGTTGCACTAGTGCAGGATAACAAACAAAGCTATTATAAATAATCCTAAAAGTAATGAATTTGAGGTTATTAAACAGTTTGACATTTTGGGGGTACCAATACTTAAAAACAAAATGTTACCAAAAATCGTTTAAGAATGAGCTTCATTCTTCAACGATTTTGCGTGCTAGAATATGACATTCTTACATAAAAATCGAGAAAAGTATAGTATGCACCTCGTTTATAAACTTTTCTAAGCACTAGCTCGCAAGCTCGCTCGTGCCTAAATTAAATTCGTGTATAAAATGACGTTTATTTCCTAAACATTATTTCCTATTTTCCAACTTGAAAAACGAGAATGATCATGTTAATTAAAAATTGATTAATATAGTTTATCTGTAATGGAAATCTCATGAGCAAGCATGCAAACTATTGTAGGAAAGTTATTTTTGACTTCAAATAATTTAATTAATCTACAACGATCAAAATCCAGAAATGAATTTTTTGACGCTGAAGTTCTTTTTCTCAAAGAGTAACATATTTTAAATTTTTATCAAGTGGGAGAAGATCAGGAAAAAAATTATTTTGTGCATTTTTTTACAACGCAAGTAAACAAAATTGCGAAGAATCGCCGTTTCGAAAAAAAATCAGTGGATTACTTGAAAAATAAGTACCTCAGTGCAGGAGTCGAAAATCAGCGTATTTGCTGACAAATCAGTGCATTTGGTAACCCTAGCCTTGTATATTTTGTTATAATGGCTGAAATAATACACAGCATTGCATATAGTTAATTTTTTTTATTTGGACTATTTAAAAAATGGTACTTCTGCTGCTAATTAAATACTCTGACACTGTCAAATTAACAGTAATATTTCTGTGGGTAAAAGGCATAAGGGGATAAGGCAAAACAATCAATTTTTTATTAGTGCCTTAAACGTGTTCGCATTAATTTAGGAAATACATTTATGGTTAGCGGGTATATCCTTTTGCCAGCACATGTCATATGCGAACACGTTTAAGTCTCCACCGAAAAATTGCTTTTTTTGACTTATCCCCTTATGCCTTTTACCCACAGATTTAATATTGATAATTTACTTGTTAATTATTAATGGGCCTTTCCATCTCAAATCGACCAGGCAAAAAGGGGTAGGTCGTTATTTTTGAAAAAAAATTTTTTTACAGTTTCTCTACCGAAATTGATGAGACCCGATTTTTTTCTTTTTGGTTAAATTTGACAGAAACATTGATTTTTCCCTTTTTTCGAGTGACATTTTTTCTTAAAAAAGCGATAACTTGGCCAAAACTGTTTCGATTGATAAAAATTTTTTTTAATTATAGGTAATTGTTTACTACATACAAAAAAAATATAAAAAATTAAGTGAATTTACTTATCATTGCCACATTTTTTTCTTCTTCATACTTCATATTTTTTTGTTTGAAGTTGATAATATAAACAACTTTCACCAAAAGTCCTGAGCTGGCTAAATTCATCGTTTCGGAATTATTATTTTTTTATTGAAAATGCCATTGTAAGTAAGGGTTGTAAGTTTTTATTAATAATTTCTAATGCTTTTACACAAAATTTTATCCTACATGAGTGATTTAATTGAAGAGCTGCAGTGTGTTTAATTGTACATATAATGTAAATTTAAGTAAATAAAATAATTCTATTGCTTATCATATTTATATTACGCCCTTAAAAAAATAGTATTTGTTATTTGGAGTAGCTGTGAGAGTGCTTACCACAAAAAGAGTCACTTCTACTCCTTATGACATAATCTACTATTAGTTTTTTAAACTTAAAAACTACTTATTGAAAAAATTTACAGCATGGCATACCGTTAGTGCGCCATGTTTTTGTGTAATTTATTTTTTTAGGAATAGAAAGTACACAATTTAAAAACTTATTAATTAAATTGGACAGACATTAATTGTATTAAAAATAAGTTTAATTTTACTATTGTACTTAACATGCAGGTTTCTTACTATTTGCTCTTGAAATATGTAAGTAAATATATTTTTTTCAGGTTTCTTTGGAAAGGTGTGTACATTCAAGTGATATTGCGATGAGACTTCAGGCTTTTTGTGGTACAGAACTGGAAAGTAACCAGGCTCTGTCGGATTTCCACGGTTTTTTTTATTTAAAGAAAATAGCGGCGATTAATTCTCTTGCCTCAAAACATCCAGGATCGGTGGAATATGTTTTTAAATTAAGACGAAAAAAGTTGGTCATAGAAACTCTGCATTTGCCACCAGACATACAAGAATCTATGGACTCCAAAAAAAATGACATTCCATCTGTTGGTTGTGGCGGAAGCAATAAACATTTGTTGGAATTTTAATGAATTACCCAAACTCTTATTTATTACAAAGTATTATATTTTCATTAGTGATAAATAAAGTTTTGTTATAAATATATTTGTTTTATTTAGTACCCAATAAATATATATAGGTAATTTAAAAATCAAACAAACATTCGAAGGGTTGGCACTCAAAACTTCCTCAATTTTTCAAAGGATGTCTTTTTGGAATTTTTTCACAATACCTTTATCGGTCCGTGGACCACCAGTGGTCCGCAGAAGCCAAAATATGGTCCGCGAATGATTTTAAATGGTGGTGGGGGCGGTACGCGGGGACGCCAGCTCGGCTAAGACAGGATACATTAAAAGTAACCCATCGACGACCAATCAGAGCGTAGCAGCATTTGTTGCGATGTTGCCGCAGTGCTGTGCCGTGCCGCGGGTAATTTAAATTCCCCGTAATAGTAGTTGTATAACAATGGCATGGATAATGTAAAAAATAGTGGTTTAAGTCTTAGATAGATATTCGCAAATGGTTTTTAAACAATATTTGACGTAAATAAGTAAGTTCTACATTATTTATTGTCATTAATACAATTATAATTATTATTATAGGTAAAGGTATTTTTAGCAAGCAAAAATATTGTTAAAGCTAATGGAAATGTATAGGTAACTTTGTAGGTATAGATACCTACAAAGTTACCCTTGTACATGTACATATCCCTGCTTAAAATACCCCATATAGACCTTTATAAAATAATCTATCGGGCACTACCGGATTCCATATGTGCATTTGTCCATGGTTTTTTCCGGATACGGCCCAAAAGAAAATTTATAGGAAATTATCTATAGGCACACCATAACTTTTACATTTTCCCTATTGAGACCGATAGGAAATAACTCAATGAAGGATATATAGGGATATCCCTATAGAAAAACCATAAACATTTGACAAAATTGTATTAAACCTATGGGGGAAAAACTAATTTCTACATTTATGTGTATTTTCCCCATTGAAACCAATAGCAAATAAATCAAGGGTGGATTTCCCTATAGAACAACCATAAATCCCAACTATGGGTTCTATACAAACCGATACACCCTATAGAAACACCATACATTTCGATATAAATCTATCGGTTTGAACAGGGTCTCTATGGGGTATTTTAAGAAGGGATTTTGTAATTATCACAATAAATAAAAAAACTGCAATACCTACACATTCTGCACTTTAATTTATATTTTCAAATAATTTTAATTATTATGTAAAGCTTTTTGGCCATTTTGGACACCTTGGTAATATTTACAAATTTTAATTTGCTCAAAAAATGCTAATATTTATTTTTTCATTAAGAAATAAAAATCCACACAAAACTCCTTTCCCTATCAAAAGCGATATTTAATACTTGAACAACCCTGAAGTGAATATTTAAATAAAACAAACTATTGTATCTATTCTTTTTTTAATACCTATAAAATAATCAATCATACAATATAATTTTAATACATGTTGTGATGTTTTTATTTTTTTACATAATAAGTATACATAGCCAAATAATGTTATTACTAGGGCTGGGCGATTATGGAAATTCATTATCGATTATTGATTATATAAAATAATCAATTATTTGATTAATCGATTATTGATTCTTCTTGGATTGGATATTTCCTCTGTGCTCATCACCAGGGTCCATGCATTTAAATATTTGGGATCATCATCACTCATTATGTATTGTGCTTCAATAGGACCTCCTAATTTTTCCTTGAGTGCATTAAAAAATACTTTCTGTATTTTTTTATCCATTCTGTTAGAAAGTAAAAATGCAACAGGAAAATCATGTTGTTCTCATCTTTAATTAACAAAATGGTTAAATCCAAATTTCTACGATTAGTGCCATGTGTCCCATCAATGCAAATATTTTTTTTTAATTCCCTTAGTTTTCTTTTTATTATCCCATTCATATATCCCAAGGCAAAATGTTCATCCTTCAATCCTGGAAAATTCATTCCTAAAAATGATATTTTTGTGAGTAACCCCATAATGTATTTAATAATCCAATTTCCTACCTATTTAATTAAATAAAAATGCATCATTCCTTCCCTGTTGATTCCATTCCTCAACTTTCAAAGATACACAGCAAACGAAAAATTATAGAAGTGTATAGGATGACTCCGCGTTTGAATATCAAATCTTAAAGTTTTATCATAACTGTATTGAATCGTGCTTTGTTTTTATATTTTTCGGCTCTATACCTATGCACGACTATATTTAAAGTCAAACTCAATGGTGTCTTACAAGATACATTATTTTGATTTTCTATATTCAACAGAGGAGTACAAACTCGACCCTGTCGAATGGTGCAGTCATTTATGTCTCTAGAAATTATTAAAAAAGGGTTCAGTCCAATGGTGCAGCAACTTCGGATTCCTATTCTCCTCAGAGACATAGAAACTCAAGCTTTTCGAATTTTACTGGCAATGATTTTCGTTAATGTCCCCGAGAATTATACAAAAACAGCGCAATGCAATATCGCAACGGTTTCGACTTCTCTTTACTCTACCAAGTTATAGAAACTGGAGTCTCTCTAATACTGTTCTAGTCAATATTTCTGAGAGTATAAAAAGAGGGTGTACCTAATATTGCAAGAAGTTTTGATCTTTTGATGGATGCAAGTAGTTTCAATTTTCTCCTTTCTGCATATGATTTTGTTGAAAATAGTTCCTTTCTTTGGTTCCTTTGTCTGATTTTTATTTACCGTAACAACCAAAGAACTTTGGTAACAACTCAGGTATGTAAAGCACAGATGATATGATGTCAGAGATAAAGAAGGTTATGTATGATGTTAAGTATATTTATGTATTATATAAAGTACCTATATTTGTATTAAAAATTTCAGAGGTTATGTTGAAATAATGATCGATATGCTATTAAACTTTAATAATTTAGTAATTTAGGTCTGTTGGTAGACCCTGCACTATCTCCACTGGTATATGTTAGTTTTGTAATATTTAAATCTGGTTGATGATGGTTATTGTAGCATCTACGAACAAATGAATTAATGGCCCATTGGCAATTATTCCTTTAGGAAAAATATTCAACACAGCTTAATTAATTAATAAAATGAAAAAAATCACAATCATGTCGTATATAGTTTTTTTTAAGCATAAAATAATTTTTATATTAATACTAGTTCAAAAGTGAAATTACGACCTCTATACTGTGGAGAGTATTGAAACGCTCGACTGACGAATACAACTCTATACCGTAGGGAGATTTAGAAAACGATATTCAAACGTGGCGTCATCCTATACACCTCTATAATTTTCCGTTTGCTGTGAAAGTGAACATTTGATAAACCCTTTCCGTAGGTATTAAAAATGATCGTTTTCGGGCCGTCATTAATTGAACATTTTCAATGCGTCTATTTCTGTTTATGTCTTTTTGCGAAATCGTACCTTTGGCAAAGTAGTATATTGTTTATAAACTAAAACTTCTTTGAATATTATTCCAAAAATAAATATATTTATTTTTGGAATAATATTCAAAGAAGTTTTAGTTTATAAACAATATACTACTTTGCCAAAGGTACGATTTCGCAAAAAGACATAAACAGAAATAGACGCATTGAAAATGTTCAATTAATGACGGCCCGAAAACGATCATTTTTAATACCTACGGAAAGGGTTTATCAAATGTTCACTTTCACAGCAACTATAGTTAAATAACTTTCGACAGAAGTTCGATTGCTATCGAAAGGTAATATTACCATTACATATATATGTTGGTTTTCTGGTTGACAAAAAAATGAATGATTTGTTGAAACATTTTACTAATCCGGCATGTCAAATGAATTTGGCTTATCTTGTGGATATTTTCACACTTAAATAAATTGAATGGACTGCAAGGTTCCGGAAATAAACAGTTAGAAAACGTCGCAAATATATTCAATTTTGAAGATAAACTTCGCGCTTCTATTTGCAAAGTTGTGGTTACGTAAAATTAAAGAAAATAATTATTCTGCGTTTGCGACATTAAAAGCACTTGCGGAAGACAAAAAGTATGACGCTAGTACAGCAAATATGGAAGAGAACATCAAGACTCATTTACAAATGTTGATTTAAGAATTTAATCGTTACTTCCCAGAATATACCGAAAAAACTAAAGTTGATCAAGAACTGATTCGTAACCCTTTTAACACGGACGCTGGTCATGTTACTGAAGGAATCCAGGAAGAATCATTGAATTTCAAAATTATAGAAACTGCAAGGATGCTTTTGAATCGAATAGCATAGCATAGGATAGCCGAACTCGTGAAGAAGATGCGTTTTAAACGTTTTTAGCCCAACTTGGAACAGTAACAATGTTACCATTAGTTTAGGTAACTGTTGCGTTGCATTTTAGTAACATCCTTATATTGCAATGTTAGATAACAGCAATACCATAGAAAAAGGAGCAATACTGTGTTACGTTAAAGCCGGATTTATAGTTCTAAAAAGTAGGAGTAGCAGTAGCAGTAAGCCAGTGTTACCAATAAAATAAAATGTCTTCATAAATGTCTGCAATGTGATTGGCTGGAGTAGGAGTAGCAGCAAGAAAAGTTAAAACTTATCCATCGCGACGCGACACTTTAAAATGTATACAGCTACGTAGCTGATGAAAGATTTCCATGCATTTAAATGAGACAATTCCCACATAGCGACGCGACTCGACAAAATTTTGTCGCTTCCTGGAGCAACAATAGGGCGCGATTTTGAAGCATCGCGTCGCGTAGCTATGTGAGAATCGGCCTTTACGCCAACGACCTTGGTTGCTACTGAACGCTACTCCAGCCATTCACTTTGCAGCATTTATATTATTATATTGGCAACACTGGCTTACTGCTACTGCTACTCCTACTTTTTAGAACTATAAATCAAGCTTTAAGGGATATTTTTTTTTAATTCAGAGAAACGTTTTTTGGGATATTAGGCAGGCACAACTCAACGTGTAAAGATCATTCGGAACAGGGCATCGATGCCCGCCAAACACCACTGAAAAATGTTCCGATATTCCCTTGCCTGCAGAGTTGTTGTCAAAGGATATTTACGGAATAGATATTAAATAATTAATAATAACTAATACACCTGTTTAATGTCTATTTAAAAATACATGCCCAATGTACATTAAGATATGAAATTAAGATAATTATCGAAAAGACGTATTTTCGATAATTAATAGTAGCCAAAAATATGTCTAAATATGTCCCCCCGTGTCCGTGAAAATTCATAATTTTTTTTCAAACGAGTCTTCCAAAGTTTTAGATTTTTAAATTAATTTTTAACCTGAGCCCTGACCACTTAAAAAAAATTTGCTAGTAACGTCAATAATAAAAATATTAGTAGGTACCTATAAACCAGCGAGGGGTAAACCACTTTAAAATCTTTGAGACCAACGTTCAAAGTTATAACTTTGAACGTTGGTCTCAAAGGAAAAAAATCTCAACACAACGTCCACTATAGTGGACGTTGTGTTGAGATTTTTTTCCTTATCAGTCGTTATCAATAAGGAAAACTTGCTTAATCGGTGCGAGGGGTAAACCACATTAAAATCTTAGAGACCAACGTTCAATGTTAGTGGACGTTGTGTTGAGATTTTTTTCCTTATTAGTCGTTATCAATAAGGAAATATTGCTTAATCGGTGCTTGATCAGTGCTTAGCGACGCGTTGTACATAAAGTTATAAAGTTATAAAGTGCTCTTTTAGTTCCACCCTTACATCCAAACTAAGATGTCCCATAAGCCAACTGAATGGCTTGTGCGGGTTAGGGGTAGGAACGGACCGACGGCTTAAAGTCCCCTCCGAAGGATGACTACCCTTGTTATTGTTATCCTTAGCCGTTAATTCGTAAGCGATTTTTAACTTTAAAAAATCAGTGGTTTACCCCTCGAATCGGTGCTTAATCGGTGCTTAATCAGTGCTTAGCGACGCGTTGTATGTACATGTGACTACCCTTGTTATTGTTATCCTTAGCCGTTAAATCGTAAGCGATTTTTAATTTTACCCCTCGTAAACCAGGATCAAATCTAGAAAACCAGTACACAATTAAAACCAGGACACATTAGCAAAAACCAGAACCTGTCCTATAGCTTCCAAGCGGTGGGCGTCGTTTAAGCACACTTGTTTTTTTGACTGACCAGTCACAATTCGAAATCGGTATACGGCCAACGAAGTTGTCTATCCTGTAACATGTGTTCTTGACTTCGACAAATAGTGATTTTAGTTTTGTTAAGTTGCCAAAACAAATTAAGTAAACATTTGTGACAGTGACATTCCCGCCAAATGTAGTTTTGGAGTTGCCTGTAATTTTTTTATTGTTTCGTTTCTTTAATTTAACCAACATTTTAATTTAATTCTTAACGAATTCGCCCAATATGAAGTGTACAATCCCTGAAATTTCATGGCATAATAGAGAACCTGTGTTAAGTGTTGATATACACCCAATTTCCACGGATTTTTATAGGTTAGCGACTGGCGGTGGAGATTGTCATGTATTAGTAAGAAAACTTGTGTCCAGTAAATGAAAGTGGTATTAATATTGTGCTTTAGATATGGCAACTGAATTTAACAGAAGAAGGAGCTGTCAAAGTAGAAAATATCTCAGATTTGACCAGGCATCAAAGGGCTGTAAATGCAGTACGATGGTCACCCACTGGACAATATCTGGTATCTGCTGATGATGATGCCAATATAATTATATGGCAATTAAAAACAGATAATATTCCTTTATTAGAGGGGGACACAAATGATAAGGAAACCTGGATTACGCATAAAGTAATAAACAATAAATAATTAAGTATTAGTTTTTTTTATCAAATAATTTTTTTTGTAGATATTAAGGGGACACAAAGAAGATATATATGATATTTGCTGGTCTGTTGATGGTTTAAAGTTACTGTCAGGGTCTGTAGATAATACAGCAATACTATGGGATGTAACAAAAGGCAAAATGGAACATATTCTCTCAGATCACAAGGGTTTTGTACAGGGTGTAGCTTGGGATCCTAAAAATCAATTTATTGCAACAATAAGCACAGACAGAATTTGCAGAATTTTTGATACAACAGGAAAGCAAGTAAAAGCCAGAATACTTAAGGGGAAATTGCCGGTTTCTAATGAACATTATCTACATAATAAAGAAGTAAAATATTTTCATGATGATACTTTCAAATCATTTTATAGAAGATTACAATTTTCCCCTGATGGGTCCATATTAATTTGTCCATCAGGGCATGTAGAGGCTGATGATTGCAAGAAAATACTGAGTGGAACAATGATTTTTACAATGGATAATTGGAATAGGTAAGATACAACTTGTTGATTTTATGTAATGTATTTAGAAAAAGTTTAAAAGGTATAAAATCATTTCACAAATAAAAAAAGCATAAAACCGTAACATATACATATAGCCCAGGAAGGAGGCAACAGATTTTTCTCACTATTGTAAAGATTTTTTTCCCATAATAGTTTAAATAGTATCAATGATGAAAGTGCATATTTACCAAACTTTTGCTGGTGCAAACATGAGAAAAAAATTAAACAACATGTTAGGTACCTAATGTCAATTCTACTGTTAGTGACAGATTCCTAATAACCTTAATTATACTGAAAGTGACAGATACCTTACCTCAAATTTACTGAAAATGACAGGTACCTAATCTCAAATCTACTTCATCAATACCATAGTTACAATCATACAAAAAAATGTACATGTTTGTACTATTAAAGTATAAATTGTATAATTTTAAATTTTTTATAATAATTTATAAACTGTATACTAAAATACGCTGTTAATGGTTTTATAACAAGTAAAAAGATTAAAACCTTATTGTATTGAGGCCTACTTAAAAAACAATGCGCAAAATTAACATCTAAAATTAAGGGAATTTGCTAAAAGATTGTCCATTTTTCTTAACCTGACATAAACAATATTAATTATATTAAATTAATATTTTGTACAACCATTACAATAATATTTATATAACCTTAACATCACTGGCAAATCTTCAAACTTTTTGCTTTTGACATAAAATATCCGCGCACATGCGCAAACCTTCTTTCCAATTATTATTAGTGGTAAAAGTTAGAAGTTTGCAAACTTTTTCCACTAATTGAAAAGTACTACCACTAATTTTTTGGCTGTGAACAACACTGTGTATATTCATAAGACAAACTTTTACGTTAATTATAACCACTAATTTGTTCCACTAATTAAGAGGTTCTGAATGAGGCTTAATTGCTTCATATTCGAGATGCCTCCTATTAAATTCTGCAGCAGCTGCTCTGTACATTCTAAAATTTTCACCAACCATTCTAATTATTTCCACTTTTTCAGCAATGTTTAACCTTTCTCGTAACATTTTTAACAAAAATGCAAACAAAACTTTACAATTTTTAAACATTGTGGACTGTCAAATTTAATTTTAAGTTTTTTTGTTTCCATGGCTTGGTTGATAAAATGTGTTTATTTATTCTAATGCACACTACAGAATTTAATTCTAAATAGCACAGTTTTTGTATACGTTAGACAATGGAAATAAAATTTCACGTACGGAGTTTGCGTTGTAGTGTCATAATAGTATATAATAAGTTTGATAAACGCCATTTTATACACGAATTTAATTTAGGCACGAGCGAGCTTGCGAGCGAGTGCTTAAGTTAATGAGTGTATAGAAAAGTTTATAAACGAGGTGCATACTATACTTTTTCTACGACAAATACTTATTATTATCTTAAAATGATTTAAATCAAAAATTTGTATAGAGCGCCATCTATGAACCAACAGGGGAAACTGTCAAATGTCACATTTTTACATTTTATAAACACAATTATAAAGGTTATAAATCGAAATATATCTTGAAAATTGACAGTTTTTCACAGTGAAAGTAAAGGAAATGTTTTATGAGGACTTTACAGTAGAGTCCGTGCCCGAATTTAAGTTTACTGCCGGCGAAATTAAAAGGTCAGTACAATGTTCATATAAACTTTTCAAATATTGGCGTTGAGAAACTATTTAATATTTTTGTATTGAGATAATAAAATAATTTTTACATTTAGTATTATTTTACAAGAAACGCACTTTATTTTAACGATTGTATGACATTTGACAACTGTCAACTAGCTTAAAACTAACTTCAGCCCGTGACTAAAAACCTGTTTTGCTAACTTTAGCCCGTGACTAAAGCGCCGTAAAGCTACAACTTGTCAATGTGTATTTAAAAGGTCACTTAGTGTCATGGAAACATGTACGATAAAGGGCGTTTTAAAGGTGGGAGTAGAAAAAATGATTTTTTAATAGTTCACTTAATAATATTATGGATCCAATTAGATTAATATTACTATTTAAAATACCATTTTTTTTATTTTCGACCTTAATATGTGAACACCCCGTATAAGAGTAACAAAACTAAGCGAATGTTTAGTTCGTATAAGGGCAAATTTTCGTTAAATGTACATTTGCTGTCCCCAGCTAATTTTATTTTTATTTTTGACCTTTGTTGATAAGTTTTGTATTTATTATATTTAAATACCCCCTGTTAGGACCCATCGTATTTTTTTTTAATTACTTTATGTTTCTATATATGGCAGAAAAACTAGGTGAAATGTCCTGTAACGTAACTGTCCCCAGAGGCGATTTTTTAGTTTAAATTATTATATTCTTCTTCTTTGCAGCTTTCTTCTAAAAAAATAAATTATTTTTGAACAATGGAAAGTTCTTTTATTCGTATATAAAAATAAAATAGTTTTCAAAAATCTTGTCTTTTTCCTAACGTCGTCTTCTATGCCGACTGCTTCGAAATAGAGACATGAGATAGAGATTCTATCGTGTTATTTCTAGAGGGCATACATGTTTGATAGTTTGGCAACAACAAGTGAGCACGTGTAAAGTGTGTGAATTTTTTTGTAAATATTTTAAAGGTAAGATTTGTTTGCGTACACTTTTGGTGTCTTTTACAAAACGCTACATACAACTCTTGTTTTAGAAGTTAACTTTTTTATTTTCATTTTGTATTATAGCATAGTAGAAATTCCAAACAAATGCCGAAAGATATTTACATTTAACAGTATTTCTGAAAAATAACGTTTGAAAAAGTCAAAAGCAACGTGTCATAAACCGTTCAGGAAGATGCGTTAGGAGGAGGACAATGTTTCATTTCTTCCTTGTGTTCCTTCCCTATTTCAGATTAACCCTATAAGTTTTATTTCTTTAAAGTTTATTTTTGTTATTTATAAACTTATAGAATTTTTTTGCAGTTCTATCACAAAGGAAAAAAAATCGATCATATTTGGCCTGCCTGGACAAAATATATATACAAAATGTACATTTAACGAAAATTCGCCCATAAAAAAAAAATTGCTTTTGAGTTTTTTTGTGTAACTCGCATTGGTTCACCAGTAGGAGTCGGCAAAGGACAGTTTTTGAAAAAAATCATTTTTTTTATTATCTAGCAAAAAGTAGGGAGAAAAAAAGGGCTGACTCATAAAAAAAACAATTGGTTGCTCTGCGAAAAATAATTGTCAATGTTGACGTTTCTAATTTTAAAATAAAAATGTCAAACAATATGCAATTTCTGTATGATTTTTTTGACCAAAACGCATGCGTTTTGGTCAAACAAATCATACAGAAATTGTAAGTTTGGTTAGTTTGTGTCTCTAATGTCATATTAATTAACTAGAGCAATCATAAAATTCGAACAGTTGCTTTTCCAATAAAATAATTATTGTTATTTTTTAGCATATGTTAGAATATGCCATCTCGGGACTGCTGGGTGTAATTTTTTTTAAAACGATTTATACTTATACAAAGTTGGTGTGAATAAAGAAAACTATGAAAAAAATTAAATTTTTCGCTAGTTTGGGAATTTCGCTTCAAAAAATGGAATAATCTACTCACATTTATATTTTTGTGCTATAGCATATGGGTCATTCTTACAATAGGGGAAATTTTATGTCCCTGACTTGCCATGCTCAGTCAAGTGCGTGTTCACCATTTTTTATTTTATATTTATTTAGGGGTTTATTGACCCTATTCATACACCTATTAACTTAATAATAAAATAAAACCAATTCGATACATTTTCCCTTTAATTATATAAATTGTCATTAGCGTGGATGTCCCTGGATATCCTTTCACCAGAATATTTTTTTTTTGCAAATTAAGAAACTGTCCATAAATACTCTAGCAATAGTATATTATAGACAACACTTTTTAAGATATGTTAAGCGGGATTGAGACAAAAAAATAAAATTGAATTGAAAAAAAAACATTTCTTAAATGTGTCCCTGAGTTTGACATCATTAGCGTGGATTATAATGATACGTATTTAAAATTCCCGCCTACTTTAAATTTTCCAGTTAGCGACCGTTATTATAAACATTTTGGTATACGCTATTTACTTGATTTGGCGCCAAACGCGAACAGTTGCACAGTGAAATATGAGGTGTGAAGTTGTTATGTGTTTCATGGGCGTATGTTTAATGTGCATCATTGGAGTGCTAGTGACAATTTTGTTTATCTAAAAGCTATTAGAAAAATATTGACAATAATTAATGAGCAGTGACAACTACAAAAGGTATGCATAATTTAAATTAAATTCATTAATCCATTTGCTGTCCAAAGAACCTTAACCTTAATTTAGTCATTGGCGTGGATATTTACTTGCATCATTGGCGTGGACTTTTTTGTCCACGCTAATGACGGACTATCCAAGCCAATGATATTTTGTACGAATAATGATAATAAGATATTTTTATCTAAAATCGGCAGTAAAGTAGAACTTTAGTACCGATTTAATACGAGCATGGTTTGCATGCAATGCATTGCATGCAAACCATTACTGCTCCTTAGCAGCAACTAAATAATATTTTAAAAAAAGCACTTTCGCGGAGATCAATTGGATCAATTGGAAGTTCCAATTTGGAACCTTTCATAAAATATTAAAAAAAATAATAATAAGTTAATTTTATTAATTAAATTAAAAAATCGCCGCGGTGGGCAAATATATCATAACCCAAAGATAATATACAAGGTGTCTCTAAACTTAGTGGCATAAATTTAGGAGCAGATTAAGCAAGTCAAAATAAGACGAAAATCTAAATAAATATTTTTCCTAATTACGTATGTTTAAAAGTTACAGTGGGATAAAGTGTTACTTATCATATCAGTTTTTTTAATATAACTTCTACTCAGTGATGTAATGTATCGAGATACATGTATCTAGATACTGGATCTAGATACATTTTATGTACCTAGATACGTATCGAGATACTTAAAAAAATCAGGATCTACTTTAGTATCTAGA